CACTATCCTTATGTTGCCTTTCCTAATAGAGTCAGATAGTTCTTGAAGTGCTGCTTCACTTACTCTACATATTATTTTTCTGCCTTCTACCACCTTGGTTCTATATGCATTTCTGTGTTTAAAATCACTGCATTCACTCTTCCTTTTGGTCTGGTCTGCAACCATAACTTTCTCTGAAGTTCTTTATCTCATCTATTGATTCTTTACATCCTGAATCTCTACTGTTTTCTTATTTAAAGCTTCAGTTTTTACTTTCTGTTTATTAATTTTATTTTTGAGTTAGGTCATCTCTTTTTTCAATTTTCTTGTATCTTTTATTAGCTTTTCTAGGTTCTCTTCGAGTTGTGTGTCTCAATTTACTTCTTTCTCTTTGAGTTTATTATAATAATTCTGAATCTCTGTCTGATAGGAAGATACCTTCTGTGTCATCATGGTTGGATTCATTAAAGTTGTGATCTTATTGTCCATGAGATCTGGAGTTTCTACGTATTATGTATCTTTTTCTGGCTATTTTTATATTTCAAATTTTCATATTTAAAAAATACATGTAGCAGTAACTTAGAGAATTTAACTATTTTACTTTTCACATAGGTGGTGCTCTGTTTTGATTTGATTTGACTTGAATTTTTTGGCATTTGCAGGCTTCAATAGGTAGTTTCAATAGGTACACAACCAGTTTTTATAATTGTTCAGTCACAGTGTGTGGGAGATCCTTGGGAGATCCAGTAATGGGCTGTACGTTTGGGAGCTGATTCAGGATTGTCGCACCTCTAATATCCTTCTTTTCTGGCAGGCTGTGTAATGTTTGTGCATTGTATGAGGTCAGTAACTGCTCTGAGGGGAGGGATGGGAAGAATGTTTAGAATGTTTCCTGTGTTCTTTTACTTTTGTGTGGTCACTTGGGTGTGGCACCTTGTTCTATATGGTTTTCCTCTCTTTTACAAGTACGTGCCTGTGGTTTTTTTCTTTGCTCTACTCTCCAGAGCCTTTGACTAAACTAGTACCCTTGATGTACTTGTCATGGGCCCTGGACTACAGTCTCTAGGTATCTCTCCTCACTCCTAATCAATGAAGAGTCAGTTTCCTCCATGTCTCCTTCATCCAGTCATGTTCTTTTGATGTCAAAGTGGTGCTTTAGTTTCACCCCAAATCATGCTCTGTTGGTATAGTGTACCTCTCTGTTGCCATCTTTGGTGATGTCATCTTCTCATATGGATGAATTTTGAGGGAATGCAGTTCAACCTGTTATACCAGGTGCTAGTGTAATGGCACATAATGAGCACCATGTAATGTATATATAGTAACTGTTCTCTTAATCTAGCTCATGTCCTTCCTATAATTTCATTGGAATGGGCCTTTATTTAAGGGCAGTTCTTTTCAGCAAAGAAAATGTGTTAATAAATTCTTGGTAGTGATTTTACATATAGATATGGTATAGGTAAGTGTCAATAATTTGTAGGTGTATGAATGCTCTGAAGTCATTGTATAATTTTAAAACAGTGATTTTTTATTTATTTACAGTCATTGTCCATTTAGAATGCTATATCAAAGATACCATGGACAGGATGATTTCATAAACAGTAATAATTTATGTCTCACAGTCTAGAGTTTAGAAATCTGGTTTCTCACTTCCTTGGATCATATATAGTACCTTCTTGATGTACCCTCACCAGGCAGAATGGGCCAAGGATCTCTCTGGGCCACCTTTAATATATAGCACTATTTCCATTCACAAGAATTTGCCCTTATGACCTAAACATCCGCCAAAACTCCCACCTCTAATAGCATCACATGGGGATTTGGTTTTAGCATGTTAAAGTCTATAGTATTCTGCTTTTCCCTTTTTTTGATTAGCTTTTCCAAATCATAATAATGAAAGAAATCAATAATTTCCTTTGTAAGTAAGTACATGGCTTATTTTTAGATCTATATGAATTGATGAATTCTTAGGTTGTTCTGAATAGTTTAATTTTGAATTTTGAAGGATAGACAACTGTAATAATTAGAAATATTCACAGCACAGAGCATACAGAAAATGTTTATTACTATTCCAAGTTATTGTGCATTTGTAAGTGCTGTTTTTCCAGACATCATTTTGCCGGAATCTTCCTTTTATGATCAACACAAAGTGAAGTGTTTACTTTTTAGTGTCACCATTGTGCCATGACATACTTCTGATATGTTATTTTTCTTTTTTGGATTCATGTTGCTTTTCATACTCTACTCTCCTTGAAGGCAGGAATTTTAATATTTTTGTTTTCTTGAGGTTTACTATATCATTCATTCATTGTATTGAGTGAAGCCAGTTTGCTTTCTTTACTTTCTTAGCCTCTTTCCTCTGTATGAAACTTGAATTTTGATATCTAATCTCATAGCCTTTTGTAATGTGGCCAAGAGACTTATTTTTTAGTTTTAGCATTATACCAATTATGAATACAAGTAGAAAATTAATTTTTATTAGGTACATATTCCATTTCTGATCAATATCAGGGAAGTTTCCTATTGACTTCTGGTTCCTCCAAGATGGAGTAGCCCCATTCATTTTAGGTTTCCTATCAGAATGACTAAATTGAAAAATAGTGGTAATACCTAATGCTGCTGTTGATGTAGAGAAACTAAATCAGACATCCTTTGCTGGTGAGACTATAAAATGGTACAGCCATTCTGAAAAACAGTTTGTAGTTTCTAGTAAGACAACATACAGCTGTAATGCAAACCAGCAATCATACATTTAGACATTTATGCCAGAGAATGAAAATTACAGGTAGGCCCGGAGACAGTTGGTGGGAGAAATGATAGATGAAACTTCTTAAATGACCATGTCCAGCTGGCTCTAGGCGCTCCTGGATTGGGGAGAGGGAAGGGAAATGAAAAAGAAAAACCTGAGAACCTACTGATCTCACTAACTGTGAGACATTTCTGAGATTCTTCCTCATCGTAGCATTAAGGTGACATAACCTGGTGGCAATAGAGTTCACTTCTAAGAGGAATGTCTAACAGTTGACCAGAGGGACACTGCACCAAGTGATTCCTTTAGTTCAAGGTGAGACTGAAACACAACTTGCACCCCAGAGACCAAAGGAGACTATAGTAAAAGGCACAGCAAGAAAATTCATGCTTCATTGGATAGAAAGTTGATAGAAATTCCTGATGGTTGATGTTTGGGATTGGTGTCACAGAGCTGCTGGTTCAGCCGGGGGTCTTGGCAGAAGAATGTGGAAATACACCTTTGATCCCAGTGGAGCCCATGTGGAGGAAATGGGTGCTCCACATAGATCAGCACCACTCTGGTAAGGAAAAAAACAGAGAAGGTGCTCTAAACTTCATTCTCCCTCCCCCATACCTCAGTACCTTAGGACTGGTATTGTCTTCATGATGTGCACTGACAGTGCGCAGACTTCTGAGTCTCAGATCTGCAACATCATAGAGGAGGGATATTGGCAGAGGTATTATATACCAGGCTTTCCCTAGCATATTTGTGAAAGCAGGTGGGCACCTCTGTACTCCTCTGCAATCCTGCTGATACAGCAACCCTGCTGATACAGCACCTATGGAAGTATGGCGAGGCCATGAAAAACAAGTAACTCAAACAAAACCCCAGCACCACTTGTGGGAAAAGGAAACTAGTTCATCTCTTAAAAAAAAAAAAAAAAAAAGGAAAATTTAAAGTAGCAAAATAGGCAGATAAAAAATAACACTTGGCAGCTCAGGATCTCAAGGGAGTATGGCATCACAAGTAGCCAACTCTCTATATATAAACACCAAGACATAGAAGATTATATTTTCTTATTAGATATAGTATTCAAAATGGTCATGATAAAGAAACTCAAAGACAAAAGAAAATTCAGGAAGACAACTCAAAGTGAGAACTCAGTGAAGTTATTCAAAGAGATACAAGAAATTTGAGAAAGGAATGAGCTCAAAAATGAAAGTAGGGCCTCCCCGGTGGCGCAGTGGTTGAGTGCTGGGTTGCGAAGCTGCCCGCAGCCTCTGCAGCACCAGTTCAATCCCCGGCTGCTCCCCGGCCACCGGAGGAGGGTCCCACATGGCGCGCAGACCTCTCCTGCCGCCCGCTGCTCCCCTCAGCAGTGTCCTTCGGTCCTTCTGCCTGCTCTGCTCCCCACTCTGGCTCTGGTGAATTCTCTCACCCTCCCGCGCTTCTGACTGTACCCAGTGCTTGTATGTATAAATAAATAAACAAACAAACAAATAAATAAATAATTTAAAAAAAAAATGAAAGTAATGAGAAGAAGTTATAGGTTGAAATTTTAAATAAGAAAATAACATTCAGTATGTAAAGAACTCAACAAGTGAGACAAAGAACTTGAGAGAATGCTATGGGTACAGAACAGACCTAGTGGAGAATTGACCTAGAAAATGAAAATGCACAATGTAACAGGTGGAAGAAGAGAGAGAAATGTAAAACAATTAAACAAACAACAACAAAAAACCCCCAAAGAAACACTTTAAGAACTATCTGACTCCCATCAGGAAAGAGATGCATCCTAGAAGGGGAAGAAAGAGAGAAGGGCATAGAGTTCTTCTTCAAGGAAATTATCATGGGAAAATATCCCAAAACTAGGGAAGAAACTAAATATATAAACCCATGAGGCAAACAACCGCTTGTTATCTAAATATAGTGAAATGAGACCTATAGCAGACACATAGCAATGAAACTATCAAGTGTTCAAGACAAAGACTGAATATTGACTGTGGGTTGAGAAAAGTTGGTAGCTTACAAGTGTACTCCCATCAGATTTGTATCAGATTTCTCAGCAAATACTCTATAGCAAGCAAGGATGGAATGGATTGATGTATTCAAAATATATATACAACTTTAGTTGTATATTTAAGTTTAGGCACATAGCATTAACATAAATCATTCTTTCCACTTTAATCAGAATTTGTGTATTTGTGACTTTGGCAAAGTAATGTGCATAAAATCTCATTGTGGTAAATAACTTTATTAATTAATTATTTTTATATTTTCTCTTTTACAGAAGCTACCACATCCAAGAGTACTAATGATCTTACAGACATAACATGGAGTTCCAGTGGGAGTGATCTATCAGATGAAGAAAAAACACTTTGTAAATCACAGACAGAGAATGAAAATGATTCTAGAATAGACAGGTTTTGTAAAAGTAATATTTTATTTACAGAAGATGGGGTCAGAGAAGGTAAATTGATAATTTTATTAGAAATCCTATTTCTTTAACAAATTAGGTTCATTATTGAAAAAATGTGTTTTGATGATACTTAGCATTGATTATGGGCTTACTGATACCCACACTTAATGCTATGTCTTTAGAAATATTTTCTTATTCATATTTCTCACAATAACAAAAAGACAAATATTATTGGTATTACTCTTATACTGGACAACATGAACATTTTAGAATTGGTTGGGATTCCACATTGGGTTTTATTGATGACAAAACTTGTTTTTTCAACTACTGTTTAATTTTATACTTATGTTGTTTCCTTCCTTACCTGCTTGGGATAAATTCTGTGGCAACTAATGAGTGGTAGAAGCAAATTTTTGATTAGATGGCATTTTATATTGTTTCTTATTTTAACAGTTTAAGGTAGGATTCTTCAACTTTGGTACTGTTGCCACTTAGTACTGCTTAGTACATTTGGTACTGTTGACAGATAATTCTTGGTGGGGTGGGACTTTTCATTATAGAATGTTTAGCATGTTTCTATCATTTATGTGTTAGATGACAATAGTAGCTCCAGTCCCTACTTTGTGACTGTAAAAAATGTTTCCAGATGTTATCAGATATTCCCCTTATAACAGAACATCCTCAGTTTAAAACTGTACTTAGAATACTAGAAATCAAGTTCTTTTACAAACTTAAAAATATATAGCTTATGTAGAGTACTTCATATCTTGATATGTTCTCAAAATAAGCTTTCACTTTTATGTCTGACATTGGCAAGTTACTTAATCAAGGTTAAATTTCTATGAACAGGCCTTGTCAAAGGTGATTAAATTATTTTTTCCCTTTGTATGTATAGTAAGTACCAAATGCCATTTTAATGTAATAATGAGGTGAGCTGATATTTTAAGATTATACATAAACTTACAGTCTTATTGTTAATTCAGCCATACTAATGAAATTTATTGTGATGTAAGCTTGGTTTATCTTCACACATTTGAGAAGCATAATTTCATTATTAAAACTATGCTTAAAAAAAACCCTATATGCTATTTTGTAAATCGAATTGTATTGCTTTACCATTTGTTTGCAAAGCTATAATTTTGGGAGTATAGCTTCATACCTCAAAATATGCACATGCTTCAATCAGCCTTCACCTAAGCCCCAGTACCAATACCCTAAAACATTTTCCATATCTTCTATGACCTTTCCTTCCATTCTCTCTAGTCAGCTGCATATTTTACAGAGTCTAAGAGTTACTTTTGTGGTGCTTTGCTAGTTTGTTTTCTTTGATTATTTATATTTTCCAAATGAATTAAAGCACATTGTAACTTTCACTTTCTTATTTCACTTAGCATAATCCCCTAAGATCCATTCATTTGCTCTAAAAGGCACTGTTTCATTTTTAAAATAGTTGTGTCATATTCCACTAAGTTTATATACTATAACTTTTGTATACAGTCATCTATCAAAGGACATTTAAGTTGGTCCATTTCTTGGCCTTTGTTAATAATGTTGCTCTGAATATGGGATCCACAAATCTTTGTTTTGTTTATGATGTACCATTGTTTTACATCCTTTTAAAATATTTTGACAATATAGGATTTCTCCCCTTAGGTATGGTTACTGTACATCTCCCACAAAATCACACAAAAGTCCTCCACGGTAATCCATTTTGCTCTCCCACCACACTCATTCTCACTTGATCCATTCCAGTCTTATCTCCCTCCCCTCTTAGGTGCCTCAGATCAATGGTCAGTTATCCAGGGTTTGATTTTTTTTTTTTAAGTTTGTCTTTGATGGCCCTTTGATTTCTCTATATTACACACACATAATTGATACTATTCATTAATTACCTTTCTCACTCCAGCTTGCTTTGCTTAGCATAATCCTTTCCAGTCTCCATCCATGTTGCTGCAAATGGCGTGAGTAGTATTCCACTGTGTATGTATATAACATCTTCTTGAGCCACTTGTCTGTTTTTGGGCAATTAGATTCCTTGCATATCTTGGTTATTATAAATAGTGCTACAATACACACAGGAATGTAGGTTTCCTTCTGTGTTCTTTGGGCAGATACCTATGAGTGGAATTGCTGGGTTGTGTGTCTGAGGAGCCTCGCCACTGTCATAGAGGCTGGACCAGTCTACATTCCCACTAATAGTGTTAAAGTGTTCCTTTTTCTCCACACTCTTGTCAGCTCTTGTTTCTGGTTCTCTTAATATGGGCCTGTCTCACTTGTGGAAGGTGGTATCTCATTCTGATTTTGATTTGTATTTCCCTCGTGATAAGTGATGAGTTTTATTCATGTGCTTGTATGTCATCTGGATATCTTCTCTTGAGAAATGCCTTCTGTCCATTTTTTTAATTGAATTGTTGTTTTCTTTTTGTTTATTTGTATGAATTCTTTGTAGATCTCTGATCTAAGTCCCTTGTTAGATATATAATGTGCATATGTTTTCTCCCATTCAGTTGGGTGTCTCTTTGTGTTGAATACTATCTCTTTTGCTGTATAGAAGTGTATCACTTTAATGTAGTCTCAGTTTTATTCTTCATTTTCCTTGCTAGTGGAGATGAATCTGCAGTGCGATTTCTGAAGTTTATGTCTTGGTGTATTTTGCTGTTGTTTTCTTCTATATATACTGTTTCAGGTCTTACATCCAATTTATCCATTTTGAGTTGATTTTTGTAAATGGAATAAGATGGTCGTGTATTTCATTCTTTTGCAGTCCAGTTTTCCCAACACTATTTATTGAAGAGGGTTTCTAGTTCCAATGTATTTTCTTCCCTCCTTTGTTGTAGATTAGCTGTCCATACATGCATGGTTTTATTTTTGGACCCTCAATTTGATTCTATTAGTGCATGTCTGTTTTTGTTCAGGTACCATGGTGTTTTTTTTTTTTTTTTTTAAACTTTTTTTTTTTTTTTTTAATAGAGACATGTTTATTTATTTATTTGTCTGTTTTGTTTTTTTGTTTATACAAGCACTGGGTACAGTCAGAAGCGCAGGAGGGTGAGAGAATTCACCAGAGCCAGAGCGGGGAGCAGAGCAGGCAGAAGGACCCAAGTACGCTGCTGAGGGGAGCAGCGGGCGGCAGGAGAGGTCTGCGTGCTATGTGGGACCCTCCTCAGGTGGCCGGGGAGCAGCTGGGGATCGAACCGGCGCCGCAGAGGTCGCCGGCAGCTTCGCAACCCAGCGCTCAACCGCTGTGCCACCAGGGAGGCCCACCATGGTGTTTTAATTATTACCACTTTATAGTATAGTCTGAAATCTGGAAGTATAATATCACCATTTCCATTTTATGAGGAGAGCTTTGGTTAGTTGGGGTCTTTAGTGGTTTCATGTGAATTTCAGTAACATTTGTTTTATCTCTTTGAAGAATGCCATTAGGATTTTTTTCCTCTTCCACTTACTATTTATATATATATATGACATCATTTATGTATACACACACACACACACACACACACACATACATATATATATTTTATATGTGACATCATTCTTCCTTTTTGTACAATGCATGCTTTCTCCTCTCAGGTGTAGTCCCTGAAAAATTCCCACCACCAATTTACCCGTGCACTATCACCATAGTCCCTTATGGTCTTACCTCCCATATTTTGATCTGTCTCCCTCCCCCTTTCCTGCAGTGTCTCTGATTAATAGTCGCCTGCTAATTTTGTTTTTATTTTTTTCTTGATCCCTGATTTGGTACCCTTACATTCCTCCCAGTTTTATATTCTTTGTGAAAGTGAAACCAGTCCATATTTTTCTTTTTCTTTCTGGCTTATTTCACGGAGCATAATCCCTTTCCACTCCATCCATGTTGCTGTGAATGGCATGAGTTTATCTCTGTTGATTGCTGAGTAGTGTTCTGTGATGTATAAGTACCACATCTTCTTGATCCAGTCATCAACTTTTGGGCATTTGGGTTGTTTCCATATCTTACCTATTGTAAATTGTGCTGCAGTAAACATAGGGGTGTAAGTATCCTTTTGAATTAAATGTTTTGGTGTCCCTTGGATAGATTCCTAGGAGTGGAATTGCTGGGTCATATGGAAGCTCCATTTTTAGTAGTTTGAGGAACCTCCAAACAGCTTTCCATAGTGGTTGCTCCACTTTGCATTCCTACCAGCAGTGTAGGAGAGTTCTTTTTTCTCCGCATCCTCCCTAACACTTGTTGTTTCCTGTTTATTTAATATGAGCCATTCTCGCTGGTGTAAGGTGGTATCTCAGTGAGGTATTGATTTGTATTTCCCCGACTACAAGTGATGTTGAGCATCTTTTCATATACCTGTTGGCCAGTTGCATTTCCTCTTTGGAGAAGTGTCTTTTTAGCTCTTCTGCCCATTATTTTGACTGGGTTGTTTACTTTTTTTTGTTGCATTGTTGCAGCCTTCATTTCTATATATTTTTCTCTTATTACTGTTTTTCCTGTGTCCCATACATTCTAAAAAGTGGTGCCATCATTGTCATTGTCATTCAACTCAAAGCATTTTTAAATTTCTTCTTTGAGCTCCTCTTTAATCCAGTGATCTTCCATTAGTGTGGGTTTCTATCTCCATGAAATGTGAGGGTTCTTTGCTTTCTTTTCATGATTTAGTTCTAGCTTGAGGCCTTTATGATCAAAGAAGATAGTTGGAATGATTTTGATCTTAATGTGTCTATTGATGTTTGTCTTGTAGTCCAATATGTGATCGATTCTGGAGAACGATCTTTACACACTTGAGAAAAATTTGTACTCGGATTTCTTTGGGTGCAGCTTCCTATAGATGTCTGTAAGCCCATGAGGTCTAAGCCTTTATTTAAAGCTTTAATATCCTTGTTTATTTTTTGTCTTGTTGATCTGTCCATTGGAGAGAATGGGGTGTTGAAGTTTCGTACTACGTATGTATTTCCTCTAATGTCTGTTTTCAGAGCTGGTAATAATTGTCTCATATATTTTGGTGCTCCTTCATTTGGTGATTATATGTTGAAGAGTGTTATTTCTTTCTGATGTATTGTCCCCTAATTAA